CTGTGTATCACTGCACTCTAGAAAATCATAATTATATCACCTTCCTTGAACAGAAAGATATGTTACTCTCTTCCTTTGTTTCGTAAGTTTATTTTCCTTGTGTTTTTTGTTCTTAAACTCAGTACTTAGATGCTTTACTAGGTATGTGGTTTTTGCTGCCCCAAGATCCCTTCAGCTGCTTCTTCTAATACCATAATTTTCCTTCATGATGCACCCCTTCTGCACCATCAGATTCTGTGCTTTGAATAGGGCCAACTCCACTGACAACCTATATCTATGATACTGGACATGGGGTAAGTTCCTTTTGTAAAACTGATTGGCACTTGACACATCTAGAACTGATGTAACTTAATTCTGCAAGTTTAATAGGAAAAGAATCACACTTTCTACTCTGCTTTTTTTTTTTTTTTTTTTTTTTTTTTTTTTGAGACGGAGTCTCGCTCTTTTTTTTTTTTTTTTTTTTTTTTTCCGGATCTCGGCTCACTGCAAGCTCCGCCTCCCGGGTTCACGCCATTCTCCTGCCTCAGCCTCCCGAGTAGCTGGGACTACAGGCGCCCGCCACCTCGCCTGGCTAGTTTTTTGTATTTTTTAGTAGAGATGGGGTTTCACCGTGTTAGCCAGGATGGTCTCGATCTCCTGACCTCGTGATCCACCCATCTCGGCCTCCCAAAGTGCTGGGATTACAGGCTTGAGCCACCGCGCCCAGCCTCTACTCTGCTTTCTAAGAGAGAAGGATGTTTGCCAAGGACTTCACAGCCATCTTCCCACCAGAAGGAAATAGCCTTTCTGGGAATAGGACTGGTAGAGAAGAATGCAGCTAAGAGACAGGAGGAAACAAACAACTTAGACCCAGAAAAAAACAGTTTAAAACACGCCCAAATTTAATTCTTCCCCTGGACTCTTCAACTATGGTAGTAACCAAGTCTGTCCTAGCTTAAGTCCTTTTAAGTTGGCTTATATCAAAAAGAACAATTATCTTGGTAGAAGTCATTAGGAAAGTTTAATGACTCAATCCCTTGAAATGAAGAAAAGATTGATTAATTTTATGATATTATAATCATTCTGTTATGTAATAATTAATTCAGTGAATGTAATATAATCAATTTTTTGTGTGATGTAAGCCCCTCATATACATACTTTATATTACAGCAAGCATTAACACAATCAACACATTTTACAGAGGAGTGAATAACTTCCAAAGTTAAGTCCCTCATCTAGATCTACAGAGAAAAGCAGTGTTATAATTTTTGTTTGTTGGACTCTAGAGTCTGTTTTTTCATTACGCCTGCGGAAAACGAAATATAGTATAACTTCTCTACTAGCATAAAATAAACATGAACAATATGCAATCAAAAACTCAGTTGTGTAACTGCACAAATACTTCTCTCCCATCCCTATATCTTCTTAATTTCTTGCTGAAGCAGCATTTTATATTTTTTTTGAGCGTTCATTATAGAAAGGCTTCCAGGTGATTTAAAAATAGAAGTCTCATGGCACCCCGAGAAAGATGATATGCTGTAGATTTACATGAAGAAGGTCATAGACAAACTAAGACATAAGATAAATAAGTCCCTTCATTGAAACTAGGAAAAAAAATAGTTGTCAAGGGATGAGCACAAATGTAGATGATTATCTTTCCAGTGGAACATGGAGTTTCTGCATCACTGGGAAGAGTTTTTTTTTTTTCTTTTTTTTTAACACTGTAGCTGTATTTGAAGGGTATTAGATGCTGTAGCTGAAGTGGCATAATTTTTAAGCATACTGGGGTTTGTGGCACATGTAATACAACATAGTTTGGGAAGCAGCTTCCCAGTATGTATGAGGTATATCAGGCTAATTCTAGTATAACTTGGATTTCGCATACATTTTCCAGGGCTATTATGCCTTTTCTGCTTTTCTGTTTCCTCAAATGACATGAAATTGCCTTAATGAGGCTAATTAAAAAAGTGGAAACTGAGTATGCCCAAGTGTCTGTGAAAATTTGGGGTCATATTTGGGAGGCTTTTAAGTAGTGTAGTATTTTAGTTAAGGAAAGTAAACCTTTTTCATGAATGTGCAGATTATGTATCATTTCTCTTAGTATTTGGCTCATGGGCTTTCTCCGAGGCATAATATCCTACTATCCAAGACCAGCACCCTCAGGAGAATAATTGAATTTGAATATAATTACAACAGTTCACAGCTTAGGAAACACTAGGGAGGAAATGATGACCCAGGAAGCTGACTTGAACTGGTAATGCCTTTAGGAAGCAAACACCGAGGCTGAAGCCTTATTCTGTACAGTTACAGTTAAGAAAGTTGTCAGAAGAAACACATCTGCCTTTTTTTCCAGGTGAACAGCGTGAGTTGTCCAGCATGATAGTTTTTTTTTTCTTGGGTAAGTGAATGGTGCCTCTGGTTTATCTGAATTATTCATAATACTAATTCTTTGTAAACTGAACACTATCACACTTAAGCTTAACAGGAGTTTATAATATGAAGTACCAAGTAAATTACAAATTTATGCTTTACCATGGTTTATTCCTCTTGCAAAAATGTACGCTCACTTTTACTCATTTGTTTCTAACTCTATGGATAATGCAGAATATGATAATTGCATTAATCTCTCAGCTTGTTTCTGTCTTATTGTATAAAGTAACCCAATGCTTTGAGTTATTTATTAGGATTGATGGAATTCACACATGTGTTAGAACCTTTTAGAAATAAAACCTTCCAGTATCTTTTTACAAGTTATAAGATGAAAAATTTCAAACTATTATCTATTTTATTTATTTTGCTTTGAAATTAATAAAAAATAAGGTTAATTTAAACCATTCAGTTTACCTACAGTGTTAATATTTGCTAACTAGAAGTAATTTAGTGAAATAAAACAAATTAACACCATATCAAAATGCTTCATATTTTGATTAATTTTTATGATCTAGAACTCAAGTGTGGACTGACTTCTCATGTATTGGATCCGATGAATGTATTATAAGATGTTGATGAAAAATAATTTATTTTTATTTAATGCAGAACCCATGGAAATGTATTTGCTAGATGTGTGACTGGAGAATATTTTATAGCTTCTTTAGCATTTGGTAGAATCTATAAACTGAATTCAGAAAAGGAATAATTGTAATTGTAGCTAGATAGTAATTTTTAAAATATAACATTTTACCTTTAAACTAATATACACTTGATGAATAAAGGCATACTTGTGGGTAGGAAAGCAAAGTTTACTTTAAATTGTATTGAACATAAAGGGAGAGTCATATCAAGTCAAGGAAACAAGTTAAGAAGGAGAGAAATCCCTTATATATTTTCAGTTTTTCTTTGGTTTAAGTAATAGTCTTCCATTGTTCCAGAATTTTGCTTTTTGTAATTATTCCTAAAATATTTTCTTATTTTTATAAAGATTGTTAATATTTCTAAAGTTCTTTTTTTGTTGTAAAGAGAAATATAGGAAACTATAATTTTTATAGATCAGGCAGCAACATAATGAAGCTCACAAAATACATTACAGACTCATTATGACCTCAGTTGAAAAGGCAGTGGCCTCTTATTTTCGTCTTTTACTTCTAAATTAACTTGACGCCAGGTTGCATGAAGGAGGGAAATAATTTCTTAACATTGTTAGAACTAAAATTATACTATTTGATAGGTTGTACCAACATTTCCCATATTATATTTTTTAGAATGCTTGTTTGACATTAAATAGGTCTTATAATGAGGAAAATGTCTGTTGGCAAAGAAATGTGGAAAACAATGAATTTTAAAAACTCAGACCATTTAATAGGATAATGAGTCCTATACATCTTTAAAAGAGTGATATAATTTGCAGCATTATCCAAAAATAGAAGTTATTTTTCATTAAGCATTACAGGAAAATTCTTGAAAAATCCTAGGTTAAATATAAAACCACAAATCATAGTCAGGAATGAATAAGGCAGATTTTGGAAAGGTAAAGTTATATTTCTGATTCTTGTGGACCAAATCATTGAGGTGGTTTTCTTAGCTGAGTCAATATTTTGTCTGAGTAGAAGGTGTGGAAAATCCTATAAAATAATCTATTAAGTAGCTTGTTCAACCAAAAACTGAAAATGTGTAAGGAAGTAAAACATAATTGGGGAAGATAACATGTAGTATTTCCAAGTGATTATTACTCTGAAGTACTGATGAAATTTTGATATATCCAGGAAATTATCACTTATAAGATTCTTGAGGGGGCTTTTCACAAGATATAATGATTAATGGCATTAATAACCATTTTCTTATAAGTTGAGTTTATGACTTCAAATTCCTATTTCTGGGTCTTTGGAAAACTGGATTTGACCAAGTAACTCTGGGCTAGGATCAAAAGGGTCGTCTTTTTCTTTCTCTGGGCTTGCCAACTAAAGAGTACAAGGGCTTGGCTAGATGTGGTTGTCCATGAACACATGAGAAAACAGAAAGCTGATATGTCCATTTCCACTCCAGCCCTCAGCAAGGAAAATGTTACCAAGCTACACCCATGGGCCTAATCTCCAAGTGCAGTGACCCAGCAAGTAGTACATATGGTCCAATCAGTTGTCTTGGATTCTTCTTATAAGATGAGATTTGGAAAGAGGTAAGATTTAAAAAAAAAAAAGATTTCAAGGCCTTACTTGAAGCCGATCGCTCTATATTGTCACAGGTGATTAATGATTAACAACAGCGTTTAAAAATTCAAATAATTTCACTCTTATTTAGTTATAGCTTGACTCTCTTGATGACAGTTACTGTAACTGTCTCTGTAACACAACTGCAATCCCCATTTTTTTTCTATTAATTGATTTGGCTAGTGTCAGTTCATATGTTTTTTTTATCAATTTGACTAACTTGTGTAACACATTAAATTAACATTGCTATTTTCTTGATTGTTTTTGGAAAATTTGCTGTATTTCTCCTTTAGCAAAGGTAACTTGTAAATATCTGGAAGGTATTATTTTTTTAGATGTTATCAGTTATTTATACATATCTTATATATAAACAACTAATAAGTTGGGTATACGTCAGTATTCATTTATTGAATACCTATACTGCATAATTGTGTTTGATGACAAAATACAGTTATAAATTATCCTTAATGTCTGTGGGTGAAGCTGTACAATCCAGTGGTGGAAACAAGCACATGAATATATACACTACGGAACAGTAAATTCTGTAATTGGGGGATCCCTACAGTTCTAGTAAGTGGATGAAAGATGTCAAATTCATTTTGGGTGTGGAAAAAGGGGAGGATAGAATTCAAGTAAAGTTTCCAGAAAATAGCTAATAATTGTGTTCAGTTTTAAACAACAAAAAGGGTTATTCCAGAAGAAAAAGAAAGAAATGATCATCAGGAACCAGACAATATGTACACAGAGGTGTAAGACAACATGGATCATTTGGGAAATGATAAATGCTTGAGGTCTTCCAGATTGCACATGGTGAGGAATATGAGAGCCCTGATATGAGAAATCATTTAAAGGATATAAACAGAAAAATGGCAAGACTAGAATAGTGCATTAGGTAGATTAGGGGTTATACAGAGCCTATCTGAATAAGGTTCTGAATAAGATTCAAACTGGAGGTAGACTGACTAATAAGTTAAACAAATGCTCAGAGTGAAAGTCAACAAATTTAGCAAGAATGAATATGGGAGAGTGAAGTTGAGGATGGAAAATAGTCCACCACAAAACCAAGATTTCTAGTTTTGGTGCTTATGTTAATTGTGGCATTATGGATGAAGTAGAGTGGACCACAGTGGAACAATGATGATGAATACCCTGTGAAAGTGTTTCTGAAACATTCAGGTAGAGACAACAATTACGTATCTATGACTGGAACACTGGAAATACTGAGATTGAGTTATACATTTGAGAATCATCAGACTTTAGTTCAAACCATAAGAGTACATGGAATTTTCTGCAGAGAATGTATAAAATGAAAATAGAAGAGGTCTGAGAAGAGAACCTAAGCTAAAATTATACTTTACTAGAAAAGTAAAATGATCCTGGGAAGAATTTTAGCTGTGGTCAGAAAATACAAAGTGGATAAATATCAAGAGAACAAGAAGGGAGGACTGGCAAAGGAAAAGTTTCAAAAACAAAAAGTCAACAAAATGCTCAATGGCGAGATAAAGTTTAAAACCATTAAGTTAGACTTTAAAGGGGTAGAGACATTTTTCAGAGCAGTTTTAATGGAACAATAGTAATAAAAATAATTTATAATTGAAGAATAGATGATGATAAGTCAAAATGAGCAAATTTAAAGTAATTCATTTAAGAATCTATAGAAAGAAGTATAGATCTACAGCTAGAGAGGAGGTTAAGGTTATTCCCACCATCAATAATTTCACTACATGTTGTTTTCCATAATTCTGCTCCTTATCATGAATAACTTATATTTGAAGAAAATGGATGCCAAACTTATATTACAAACTTGTTTTTTTTGTTGTTGTTATTCAAGCTTTGGGGCTAAGCTTGGAAAATGAATACACTTCCCAAACCAATAATTGCACATATTTAAGAGAGCAATGCCTACATGATGCAAATGGATGTAAACATGCTTGGAGAATAATGGAAGATGCCTGCAATGATTCAGGTAAACAAGTTGCTAAGAATACACTTAAATGATTTATTTTTACTAAGATAAAAATAGGATTTGATATTTCGTCATTATCCTAAGAACTAAGTTTTTCCCTAAGTATCTTACTCAGTCTTGACCTCCAATCGATTCACTTTTAATCATGTATTAGCAAATTTAATTATAAAAGGATTTTCTTAATTACTAAAGTGCTTTAATTACTGATGCTGAGGGCAGCATTATTCAAGATTTCAGATTATTTTCTTACCTTTCACGCCATGTATAATGCTACAATTTTATGCATTCTTCTCAGAACCATGGCAGTATTTTTTTCAAATAAAAGGTTATTTTGATTATATATGTCAATGATAAAATAGAAAAAATAAGATTTGTTATAATAATTGTGTATTTGTCCATGTTTAATGTACATTTTATATTCTTGAAACATATATACAGTATTTTCAATTCTATGTCAAGAACAAGTAAAGCTATAGTTTTGTTTTTAGCTTGTGCTACCTTCCAAACATTTGTGGGGAGGTTCAAGAGTTGAGAATGTGAATATTGGAGAGTGACTGCTCTTTTCTTTTTTTCTTTTGTTTTTCTTTCTTCTTTTTTTTTTTTTTCAGACAGAGTATAGCTCCGTTGCCAGGCTGGAGCTTGGCTCATTGCAACCTCTCGGGTTCAAACAATTCTTTTTCCTGCCTCAGCCTCCAGAGTAGCTGGGACTATAGGTGCGCGCCACCACATAGTAATTTTTGTATTTTTAGTAGAGACAGGGTTTTACCATCTTGGCCAGGATGGTCTCAATTTCTTGGCCTCATGATCTGCCCGCCTCGGCCTCCCAGAGTGCTGAGATTACAGGTGTGCGCCACTGTGCCCGGCCTGTATTTCCTTAAAAAGAAAAAATATATATATTTTGAATATTCAAGTAGCTAAATAAGCATTGAATGAGAGCATTATAGTAAGACTCCTTTCACTAAAAGTAAATAGAATAAACTCTATAGTAGAACATAGTCAATTTATACAATAGAACATTGTTTAATCTATTTATTTTGATGATTAAACTTCTTGCTGCATTTTATAAGGCAATTTAAAATATGCTGTCAAAATATTATATTTAGGTGTCACAAATAGTAACTTATTTATTAATTTCAGTTTACAAATAGCAAGTCATTTGCAGTAAATTGCAATAATATTTGCATAATTATTTTATGTATGAAGCTGAAATATACATATTCTCAAATGTACAAATGAAATAAACTCAAGTATTTTTATTCAGAATAATTAAAAGAAAATGTTCAGGTAGAGGAATATATATTTTTAAATTAATGCAGAAAAAGAAATATTGGTAATTATGAAAGACTTATTCAATAATATTTGTTGAGTGCTATATGCCAGGACCACATAATTTTTAATGATAAATTTAAAGCCGCCTGCACTCCTCTTACTATAGTCTTACAATGACATGAAAATGAAAGATCAGATTATGACAAAATAGCTAATAAAATAGATAAGCTGATAAAACACTAAGATTAGAGAGCATTCTGGTCACCTCGTGTAAGAGTAGCCTTATTTTTACTGAAAAGCAAGAAATGATGTTCTAAGTAGGAAAAAGCTCTTTCGAAATGCAGCAAGTTTTAATATAGAAAGTACATTATGGAAAATATTCAATGAAAATACATGTTTTTTTTTAAAAAGTCACTTATATGGGCATCCTGCAGCAACCCCAGATAATCTTACCATATTAATTAATTATTCAGATTAATATGTTAAAAGTCCTTTGGGGAGGAAGAGTCCAAAATTATAATAAGATTTGTATCTATAGTGTTATGTGTTTGATTGTGAGATCCAGGTGACCCCTGCAAGATGAAGAATTCATCATACTGTAACCTGAGTATCCAGTACTTAGTGGAAAGCAATTTCCGATTTAAAGAGTGTCTTTGCACTGATGACTTCTACTGTACTGTGAACAAACTGCTTGGAAAAGAATGTATCAATAAATCAGGTAATATTTTATTATAAGAAATGTTTGTAGTCATGAAAAAGCAAAAATTTCAAAATTAACCACATCTATGTAATCTGATTAATTTTTGGAATTTGATTATTTTCAGAGCTTTATTATTTTTAAAATTTTGTTGGTACATAGTAGGTGTATATATTTGAAGGGTACATGAGGTGTTTTGATACAGTTCTTGATGTACTTTGGGGTTCTGTGAACCATAGACCTCAGCAAGTGCATGATGTATTTCTTTCATTGCTAACCAAAATTCTAAGCTTCATTCGAGTCATTAGAATTATAGATTCACTCACTCAATTCATATATTTGTGAAGTTTATTGTGGCTTTGCATAACACCTAGATGATAGAAGACAAATAATACATTATCTTTTTTGTTAAGGAACTCCAAGTCTCCTGGGAGAAATAAAAATGTAACTAATTGCTAGAGTTGTACTTGCCTTTGCATAGGGACATTTAATCAGGCTAATACACTGGAGTAGTGGTGATCAGCTAGCCTGCATGTACCTTTAAGGGTACAACAAAGACATTCCAAGAGATGTGCAAGATCAAGCAGTTCTAAAGTGAACAGTGTCCAGTCTTTAATGTCCCTATATACTCCGAAAAGTAATCAACAGAGGAATGCACCTGTTATCACAGAGTCCTCAATTCTTCTTTCACAATCAACCTTCTCTCACTTTATAAGAGGTAGAGTTACCTCTCATCTACATGGAATGGTCTCATCGTCCAACCCATTCAGTCATCCATGGTGGGCTCATTGAACAAATTTCTGTTCCATGATTTTGCGTTTTCCAGAATATCAACAAATGAAGTTATATAACATGTAGCCATTTTAATTCAGTTTATTTTATTTAACATAATACATTAGAGATTAATTTTTATCATGTGTAAGTTTATTTTTCTTGATGAGTAGTATTTCATTGTATGAGTGTGTAATAGATTGGTTATCCATTCATTATTGAAAGTAAATTGCATTATTTCCAGGTTTTCAGGGATTAAAAATAAGGCTGCTATAAATATTCACATACAAGATTCAGACAAACATAAGTTTTATTTCACTTACGAAATTGTGGGGTTATATGATAAGTACACGCTTAACGTTACAAAAAGCTTCTAAACTGTAATTCAGATTTAGTGTAACCATCAATGTATAAAAGTTCCAGCTGCTTCATATTCCCAGCAGCACATATTTTTTTTTGCCATTCTAATATATATTTAGTGATACCACATTGTGGTTTTAATTTGCACTTAATTATAATGTGGAGCATATTTTGATGTGCTGTGTGCCATCTATCTATCTTATTTGGTAAAGTATTTCTTCAAACTTTTGCCCATTTTTAAATTGGTGTTTTGTTTATTGAGTTTTGAGAGCTGTTTCTGTATGAATAGATATTTTTTTATCAGAATATGTGTTTTGGATTTTTTTTAGTCTTGTCATTTAAGAGTGTCTTAAAAAAACAGTTTTTTTTAAATTTTGGTGAAATTCAGTTTATCATCTTTTCTTTCATAGATCATACTTTTGATGTTTCATCTAATAGATATTTAATTCACATTAACAAAGATTTTCTCATATAATCTAGAAATGATGTAGTTTTAGGTTTTATATTTAGGCCTATGTTATATTATGAGTTAATTTTTGTATGCAGTACAAGATATAAGTCAGATTTTCTTCCATGCAAATATCTAATTGTTCCACCCACATATGTGGAAAATAATATCAATTTTACTTTCCTCAAAAGTCATTTGGCCACATATTAATGGCTCTATTTCTAGACTTTCTATTCTTTTTCATTGAGTTAATTCTGTACTTTTGCAAATATTCTACAGTCTTACTATAGCTTCACAGAAAGTCTTGAAATCAAGTAGTATGATTCCTTTAACTGTTATTTTAAAAATAATTTTGGCTATTCTAGCTCTTTGTCTTTAATTTAATTTAATTTAATTTTAGTTGTTGCTGTAGTTGCTGTTTTTGAAACAGCGTCTTGTTCTGCCACCCAGGCTGGAGCACAGTGACCCAGTCTTGACTCAGTGCAGCCTCTACCTCCTGGGTTCAAGCGATTCTCCTGCCAAAGCTTCCCAAGTAGTTGGGATTACAGGCATATGCCACCACACCAGCTAATTTTTGTATTTTTAGTAGAAACAGGTTTTCGCCATGTTGACCAGGGTGGTCTCCCAACTTCTGGGCTCAATTGATCTGCCTGCCTCAGCTTCCAAAAGTGTTGGAATGACAGGTGTGAGCCACCGGGCTGGACCACTTCTTTGTCTTCCCATAAAAATTTTAGAATCAGCTTGTCAATGTCTGCAAAGAATCCTGCTGACATTTTGACTGGACTTACCTTGAAATTATAAACCAATTTACTATGTCAAGTGTTCAGATTTATTAACATGATATATTTATTCATTTATTTATAAGTTCTTTGATTTAGTTCATCGATATTTGATGGTTTTCAGTATATAGTTCTTGCACAACTTTTTAGGCTTCTACAAACACACTTCAGCTTTTGGTGCTGTTGTAAATGGTAATTTGCTTTACATCTTAACTTTCTATTGATTATAGTGATTATATAGAAATACAATTGATTTTTCTGTATGGAACTTATAGCCTATGACTTGTTAAATGCAATTATTCTATCTTTTATTTGTAGAATCTGCAGGAAATTCTATATAAGTAGTCTTGTCATCTGTAATAGAGTTTCATCTTCCCCTTTCCAATCTGTAGTCTTTCATTCATTTTTTTCTGCTTTATTACCCTAACTAGAGCTTTCAATATAATAGTCAATAGAATTGTTGAAAGTGGACATCTTGCCTTTTCACCTGTCTTAGGAGAAAGTCATTCAGTTTTTTACCATGAAGAGTGTGTTTGTGTGTGTGTTCTTTGCTTTTTTTCTTTATCAAGTGGAGGAAATTCCTTTATATTTCTGGTTTTCTTCATTTTTAAAATCATAAATGCATAAAAATAAATGAATGCTGAATTCTGCAAATTTTTTTTGCCTCTATTACTATTAATTACTTCAAACATTTATCTTTTCTTTTTGTTGGGGGTACTCCAATTTTTCTGGCTATTTTAAAATATATAGTAAATTAGTGTTAACTGTAGTCTCCCTACTGTACTATCAAGTACTAGAAATTATTCCTTCTATGTTAATGTATATTTGTACCCATTAACCAACTTCTCTCCATTTCTCCTCCCTCATGTCCTGCCAAGCCTGATCACATTTTTTTCCTTTAGTTTTTTATATGACGAAATTCATTATTTGATTTTTTACTGTTGTTCCAGCCCTTCATTTCAAGGCTAAATTCTATTCAATCATGGTATATTATTATTTTTGTATTTCTGGATTCAACTGCTAACGTTTTGTTTAAAAAAACTATGTTCATAAAGTATATTGGCATGTTGATTTGTAAAAAAATAATGTCTTTGTCTGGTTTGGTATCTAAGTTATGCTGGCCTTGTAAAATCAATTGGGAAGTATTTCCTCCTCTCCAATATTCTGGAAAAGCACAAAAATAATTGATGTTATTCCTTCCTTAAATGATTGATTTCATTAACCAGTAAAGATATCTGGGCCATGCTTCATTACAAAGGTTTGAAAATATAAATTCAATGTGTTAACTTGTTATAAGACTATTCTTGTTATCTATTTCTTCATGAGTGACCTTTGGTAGTTTGTATCTTCCATTTGCTGAATTTATGTTGGATTTTTATCCTTAAAGTTTTCAGTTTACTGTTTCTTTTTGGTTTCTCTCTCTCTACAAAGTTGCTCCTAGTATTTCCTAATTGCCCTTTTTAATGTCTGTAGTAGTTGCAGTGATGTCCTTTTTATGTTTAGATATCGATAATTTGTATAATTCGTGTCCTTTCTGTTTTACTATTCATTGTTTCTTTATGTGTATGTCTGATTTGATTTTAAGGTGTTTCCCATTTTCTGGCTTCCTAACATAAAACCTTGAACCACTGATTTGAGATTTTATTCTTTCCTCATATAAGCATTTAATACTATGAATTTCCTTCCAAGTACTGATTCAGCTATAGCCACACATTTTGATACGTTGTTTTAATTTATATTTATGTCAAAATATTTTCTCCTTTCCTTTGTGACTTCCTCTTTGTTATGATTTATTTTATTATTATTATTATAGTATTTTGAGGCAGAGTCTCTCTCTGTCACCCAGGCTGGAGTGCAGTGGAGTAATCTCAGCTCACTGCAACCTCCTTCCCCTATGTTCAACCTATTCCACTGCCTCAGCCCCCTGAGTAGCTGGGATTACAGATGCATGCCACCACACCTGGCTGATATTTGTATGTTTAGAAGAGACATGGTTTTGCCATGTTGTCCAGGCTGGTCTTGAACTCCTGACCTCAGGTGATCTGCCAACATCGGCCTTCCAAAGTGCTGGGATAACAGGCATGAGCCACCGCGCCCAGACAGAAGGTTGTTTAATTTCCTAATATCTGAGATTTCTCAGATATCTTCATTATTGAGTTCTAGTTTCATTTCAGTATCATCACATAACATATTTTGTATTATCTCAATTCTTAATTAAAATAACAATTGCCAAATATCACCTGTACAATGTGATACATGCTATGCACATGATAAGGATACACACATATACACATGCACAGACAAAGTACTAGAAGCCATAGAGTAAAAAGCAATGGTGACTCAGAACACTTCACAGAATTGTCAGACTTCGGCCTTTTAGGGTAAGTTGGTTTCATTAGGGAGGCAAAACAAAATGGATGTTTTAAGCAGAAGAAATAGAATGAAGTGGGGAGCATTTGGGGAGCAAGAATTCCCTTGTTAAGCTGAATAATAGAATGGAAAAGTATTTCATAACACTGGAAAGAAACCAGATATTTATGAAAAGGAGGAAAGCTGAGCTTACATAACTTTCTAAAGAGATTAGACTTTAAACCATTGTTATGAGGCGCTATTACATATTTTAAATAGAGGAATGTACCATCAGTTTCTCATAAGATATCACA